TGAAGGTCAAATCTGTAGTCACCATCGAAATTGTTATTCAAAATCCTACAAATTTTCCTTGTAATGTGTTCTTCTACAATACGATCTTGTCGAGTTATTCAGGGAAAAGCGAGTGACCTTCAAACAAGTGACCTACACGGATATACCGGAAAAATTTTCTGACCCTATATTCGGAAGTATTTGGCGCTCAGTCGATTGCTGGCTTAGAGAGTATGATGTTCGATTCAATATTTTCAAGTTGACGTTGACTTGAAACTTAAGGTCAATGGCAAATTCAAGGTCACCGGTACATTGGTTTCTTGATATTCTACAACTTTTTTGATAGGAATGAATCTTCTGAAGTTATGGGGTATTTCTCAAACTGGAAACTATCACAAGAGAGGCTACTTTGAAGGGGATAGGATAAAAATTGGAGATTGATTATATAAATACTTTCTGAGAAAATTAACAATTCCCGTTACTTTTTTATCAAACCTGGTATTTCAGAACAAATAGGTACATTCTCTCGCTGAACTGCTATAATAACTTCTAAAAACCATAACTGAAAATGTTTCTTGATAGAGAACAACGAAATACAAAGAAGTAAAAGCAAAGTTCCTATTTAATTTTGTGTAGAAAAAATCTATTTTTTAACATTGGGTTCTTCAATAAACGCCAAATAAATTTGTTTGCTTATTACTCATCCCGTATAAAAAAAAACTAAAATAAACCAGTCATTGATTGAAATGAATCATAATAAAATAAATCTTAACATTTTGCCGCCATGCTGTTAATCAACAATGACTAACTATGCGGACAAATATTAACATATGTAGTTACAAATCGAGTCACATTCAAATGGAGCATGTAAACGTTTTAAATGATGACATATCAGATGCAAATAATGGGATATAATAAATGTAAATAATAAAAAATAATAAATGTAAATGAAATATTTTTATTGTTCAATTCATTCTACTGTATTGTATAGTTTAATATTGCTCATCAATTTGTTAAAGACCAAAGGAACATTTATACAGGGTATTTTGAAAAAAATCAGGAGTTGGTAAAACAATAAAAACTTTTTCATGGCGTAAACTTTATAGTAAAGATAGTAACTATACTCTGTTTGGAAATGAAAGAGAGTAATAAAACCCCGAGATAAGAACCGGCCATGGGCGTGCTAATATTTCGTTTCAGGTAATTATCGGGTAACACTAATGCTAACAGGTGTACATTAGTATATTAGATGTACATTAGTATATTTTACTGGATACATCATAGGGCAGGAGCCAGTGTATTGTGACAGATCAATCCAGTCTTAGAGCTGAATATACGAAGACGTGCTAGTGCAGTAGAGTAAAATTCGACTTGTGTTTAGTGACTAAAGTACACTCATTTTATTTTAAAAAAGAAATACCAACGCTAAACAAAATTTTAAGTGAACTTTCAGAGGACAACGATTTGCCAAAAATCAGTAGAAGCAAATTATGGGCCGTCTTACGAGAGTTGAATTTTTGCTGGGAAAAGCAGAACAGGAAGTCAGTTCTTATCGATAAAGATGAAATTATTTGTTGGCGAAGATCCTACTTAAGATCAATTAGAAAATTCCGTGACGAAGGGAGGAATATTTATTATCTAGACGAAACTTGGGTCAACGAGGGATATACTGTAACAAAAGTATGGCAAGATAAAAATGTAAAAAGTTTTCGACAAGCATTTTTGGATGGACTTTCAACAGGGTTCAAGGCACCTTCAGGTAAAGGGCGAAGATTAATAGTGACACATATAGGTAGTGCCAGTGGTTTTGTAGATGGCGGTTTACTTTTATTTGAATCTAAAAATACAGGTGACTATCACGAAGACATGAACGCAGATGTTTTCGAAGAGTATTTTACACAGATGTTGGATCTTATTCCTCCGGGGTCTGTAATTGTCATGGATAATGCCAGTTACCATTCACGGCAGACCGAGCGGACGCCTACGACTGCTTGGAGGAAAGCCGATATAATTCAATGGTTATCCGGAAAAAACATTTCTTTTGAAACAAATATGGTGAAAAAGGAACTTTTGACACTTGTCAATCTTAATAAAGATCAGAAAAAATATGTTATCGATGAAATGGCAACAAATCGCCAAATAACGGTACTACGGTTACCACCTTATCACTGTGAACTTAACCCAATCGAATTAGTCTGGGCGCAGGTAAAAGGAGATGTAGCGCGAAATAATACGACGTTTAAATTAAGTGACGTGAAAATTTTGTTAAAAAATTCCTTGGAACGAGTAACTGCAGATAACTGGCAAAGATGTATACATCATGTACAAAAAGAAGAGGAGAAAATGTGGGAACTCGATAATTTAATTGACGTTACTGTGGAACCTATCGTTATCAATCTAGGAGACGAAGATAATTCATCAGAATATTCAGAGGATGAATTTTAATATACCTACTTTTTTATTTTCTTTATTGTACATTTATACAACACTACATTTACTCACCATAATTTGAATTTTCAAAATACATATATTTTTGTGTGGAATAAAAGTCTATTCATTAAATTTAAATAAATGTTTTGATAATAATATTGAATAATTTTATTTCAATTACTAAAATTAACAATACTGACGTATTTTAATATCCTCAAAAACATTTTGATATAACCAAAATTTGATTTAAAAATAAAACCTTCGATATCACGATCAATAGGAAAAAATCGTCTTGTTCCTTATGTTTTACAAACCTCTTAATTTATGGCATTTTTTCTCAAAACACCTTGTAGATATTTCAAATATATATGAATATATTTCACTAATATTTCTTTCACATTGCATTAAAAAAAAATTGAAAACCCAATATTTGCAAAAAATAAAAAAATACACTTTGAAATTGAACTGAAAACGCATACATGCATTATATTTAAAACAGCGTTGTGCATTTCGATAGATAACCGGTTGGGAAGAGATAAACGATGCGAGCCTGAAAATTTCCAACGAGAAATATGGATCTCGGCCGAAGAAGGAGAGGTGAAATCAATTTAGACGGCTCATTAGATTCTCTTAGTTGATTCTGCACAGTGCGTTCCGGGACTTTTCTCCTCCTTCAAGTAGAAATGGAGCCGTAAAGGAACTCTCAGCTCGTTAGATTTCGCGTAAATCTCGAATATTAAATCCTACACCGGCGAATAAATACGTGCTTACAAAGAAGATATATTTTTTAATCGTTCTCTCTTCTGTTATTACAGTAACTTTTTTTCCGTACATGAAAAGCACATAAAACTTAATGTAATGTGTGCCTAAAATTTAACTTGTCAAATATTTAAAAAATAAGTGAAAAAGTTCAAGTACTTTCGGATAATCTTAAGTCCAAAATTGCTTTGTGAGATGCAGGGAGTTTAGACAAATTATAATTTTGTCCGTAACTGCAAAACCAATTATATTCATATTTGGCATGAGGTGCTACAGCAAGACCTTTTATTAACATAAAAAAAGTTACTTCACTGGTCAAAACTACGTACAATTGTTTTGTTGAGTTATACAATCAATTTAGTTAAAATAATACTGATATCTTTTATTTAAACAATGTAATGTTGCGTGTTTACAAGAATTTACAATTGCAAATCCAAATTGTGAAAATATTTCAAGTGAATCACCTAAATACCTACACTTGAAAAAAAACATGATTTTTTATGGAAATTTTCATTGTTTCGTATAACTTATTGACGTGTAACATACGTCTTGTGACTCTGGACTGTTTTAAAATAATTTTACGGAATACGCTTATATGAACATGCACATAGAAATAATGTTTAAATAATATTAATGTGTGGAATTGGGGAGCATCATAGACATGAACTTTTTTACAATAGCGCTACACTTATTAACTCAAGATCATCCACTCCGCTTAACATAAATTTTACAATATAACTAATCTAATAGTAGTGACCGAAATTATTAAATTAAACTAACGCACCGACTACTGTCATTGCAATTTATCGACTATCAGTACCACGAATATTTATACCATTAAACAATTGCGTATCAGATGATAGCGTTGTAATATTATGTCACGCCATCGGCGCTTCAAGTTTACCTAGTAGTATTAGTGTTCTTTTATACAGGGTGATTCACAACTTATCCAAAAAAAAAATTGAAAAATTATTACAGTTTCCGAGAAAAAAATTATTTCAATTATAGTACTTTCAACCATTACACAGCTGGACAACAATTGTAGTCTCTAGCGTCATTCGTAATACGCGTGGAGAGTCACCTGGCCTCAGCGACTCCGAATACTGAAATCCGATTATACAGTCGTCGTTCCCATAGTGTTTGCAATAGTATTTTAGTAGTTAGTGTCAAAAATAGCTTACGTGTATAGCAACTAGGAGTTGATGGATATCGTTTTAATTCATGGTGAAGCAAGAAAACATTTGTATTATGGTGAAGCATTTGTGTTATGGTGAAACAAGACAGCATTCGCGTTAGTTCGCAGAAAATTTTGAACAGTTGCTGTAACATCAGTTATGTCAAATTATTTTATTATTTAAAACCACAAATAATAACAATAGCGGCAAAATCAGTTGAATTTGCTGATATAAAATAGGTGCTATAAAATTCTATTTATCCCTTTCCTTGCAAAATTCTTTCAAGTTTTTGTCCATTTTTATCACTGCCGCTGTGACAGTCGCATTGTGCCAGGTCAGGTTTTACAGTGGACCAGTTTCCAGTGCCGTGCAGAAGTGTATTTTTAAATTTTTAAATCATTGTCGAACTGCCCTTTTTGATTTTTTCTTTACAAAATTGTAATTGTAAGAGCCCCATGTACATCCATTTTTTTTTTTGGATAAGTTCTGAATCACCCTGTATAGATACACTTTACATGCTAAAATAGTTGCCTAATTCTTCTTTTGTAATAAATATTCCCGGAAGGAACTAAGCTCTATAGCAAGTGTTGAAAATCCATCAGTCACTGTAGAAATACAAAAAAAAAAATATGCTGAACATCACTGATGATCACTCACCGCATTCGAATGCGTCTGGTCCGTCTTGAGTTCCTTGTGGTTGGAGTACTGCACGTACACCGCCCTGCCTCTCAGCTGGGCTATGCAGCTGGAGAAGTAGCTGACCATGGAGGTGGCGGCCGCCTCGTCGCCCATCTCCAGGAAGGCCTGGTTCTTGCCCTTGAGCACCAGAACGTTGGTGACGCGGCCGAAGGGCAGCCCCAGGTGGATGATCTCCGCCTCGGAGACGTCGCTGGGGATGTTGCGGATGTGTATGACGCGCGACGGCTTGCCCACATTCTGTTCCAGCTTCGCCTGCAAAGAGAAAATTCGTTATTACATATTTATTGCACTATTACATTTTAAAATATATTAAGTTTAGTCTTCTATAAGTTTTTACTGTTCCCGATGCAAATCAGATGTAGGTACTTATTAAGTGTAAAATTACATTAGATTACACGTTTTTATGTAATTTTACTTTTGAAATGTTTTACAAAACCGCAGAAAATGTAAAATTACATTAATGTAATTTTATATTAATGTAATTTTACATTAATGTAATTTTACATTAATGTAATTTTACATTAATGTAATTTTACATTATACCGTATCAATAGTAAAGTACACATTGTATGGGTAAATTTTTCGTTAATTGATTTTCGATAAATGTTATTTTACTAACCCTTTTTGTCTAGAAGCTTGCGTTAAAGACGTGTACAAAAGCAATCGCATGATTTCCTGTTCCAGTCTGATTGGACTATAAAGATATGCCAATAATAATTTCATTTATTAGAATTCCGAAAAGAGAAAACTTTATTTTTTAATATTATACTCCTATACTAATTTTTGGTTTTATAATAAAATTTTTATTTTTTTATAATGTTCGTTTAAAATTTAAATAGTAGTTTAATATAAACAAACCTTCATTTATTTTTACTATTTGAATCATTAAATTGAGGTTTTTTGGCTTAATATTGTTTTAAATATATATTTTTTATTACAAACAAAAATACATTAAATATCATTAAAAGTTTATCAAATTTCAAAATTTATTTCATAATTCAATATGCTTTCTTTACTTTACTTTTTTAGTAATTGTTTTCTAGAATTTTTAGTTTGCTTCCTTTTATAACGTACAGTGAAAAATATAGAATGACTATTTTGAACTACTTTTTTACATAATTTAACTTGGTTATGTGTCTATTAACCTAATAAGAAATGAAAATAAAGTGGGTTTTGAATGAAACTTGAAACCTCGGTTGAAACTAGATAAACTTTGCATCATCCATCATATTTAATGGATTATTATTTACTTATTTTAACTTTCATAAAAAAGTGTATATAAACCGTTATTTAGCTACAAAACCCATTTAGGTGATGACAATAAAAGAAATAGATGATTTTTTGGCGATTTGTTTCTATATATTTAAGTTAAAATTGTTATAATTTCTTAACAAACTCTCTACAGGGCTGAAAATTAGTGCATGTGTGTGTATTTGAAAAATTAATATTTCGCTTGCCATCGTTTGAAATTGTAAAACGTTGTTTACAGAATTTTTTTGGAAAAAATTTGACAAAAGTAGTTTTTGTGTACGTTTTTTGAGTTTATTTTCTAAGAGAAACTATTGGCACAGTCAGATATCTTTGTTGATTAACAATATGTATAAGTGTGAAATTACAGTAAACCGTTTTGGGTCAACAAATAAAATTACATTTTCATGTGTGTTTAGATTTTAAATAATTTGCAAACTGGTAGGCTCTAATCTTGCAATAAAAATTACATTTATATAATTTTTTCTACTCATGCATCGTAATTTTACATGAATCTAATGGGTATCAAAATAACCTATATTTTAACCTTCAATTTTAATTAAATTTTTTATGAATATAGTATGTATACTTATAGCTATTGATTGCACAGAAGTAGATGTACTTCTCAAATTTAATAAGTTGACAAAGGCTCTCCATACCATCAAAAAAGAAATACGGCAGGCTCTGAACCACTATCAATGCGCCGGGTTCTGTTAAGGTTCATCGAAACTCATCCCCATCATTGCAAGGGAAATAATTAGTTTTGAATGAAACTGTTAAGCTGTAACAAGGTGTAAATGATAAGTTTAGCCAAACTTTAATGGTGTGTTCTAGCGATGAAGATAACAAGATTTGCCCTATAAAAATTTTTGATAGCACGCCATTAAAGTTTGGCTAAACTTATCATTTACACCCTGTATAAGTGAACTTTTTTCTCAACCAATTAAATTTTGGTGTAAAATTTAAAAATTTATTTAAATTACATAGCTGCAATTTTATTACTCTATGTAATTTTATCTACTCATATATTGTAATTTTACAAGAATCTGATTGAAGTCTAAAAAACTAGTATTCTGTGTGATTTTATGTAAAATTTTCCTGAGTACATTTTCCGAGACTTAATAAACATCGAAGTCTTTCATACCATTCAAAAAATAAATACGCCCGGCTCTCAATCACTACCACTGTCAAAGCGCCGCGTTCTCTTAAAGTTCATCTAATTTCATTGCCGTAGTTGCAGGAAAGAAAATGGGTTTTGGAAGAAACTGTTTTGGATCCACCAAGTAAATGACATTTTCTTGAGAGTTTGTACTCTAAATGACTGTAAATGGGTAAACTGTAATTTGTAACGCAAATTATATATTATAATTATATTGGTATAATTTTATCTACTCATGCACTGTAATTTAGTAAAGTATGTATTTTTATAGTTGATCAAATAGATATGTAAATCTTCCGAGTTTTAATAAAAGTCGACAAAAAAAAATACGCCCGGCTATAAACAATTGTCAAGGCGTCGCGTTCTCTCAAAGTTCGTCGAATCTCATCCCAGTCGTTGCAGGGAAAATAAAACGCAATTACCGATCGCCGTGCAGAAAAATCGCGGGACAGGACGGCCATAAAAACCAGAAGTGCCGAGGTGGGACGCACCTTACGGATCCAATAAGGCTTGTAACTTCATCTATTTTTTTCCGGAGTCCCCTTAACGAGGTTTCGCAGCTGCGAAATCGATAGGGGCCGACGATTCCGTCACTTTGTCGCCCCCTTATCGGCCGTTCAACAATAGGCACTCGTGTCGTAACAGATGCGTGGCATGAATGGAGATATTTCAGACAAGAAGAAAATTGGAAGGGTGCTGTTAAAGACACGGAAAATTAAATACTTAATACTTGATATTAAAAATATTAAGTAAAACAAGTTTATTTTATTTTATTATAATTTTGATTATTTATTATATTATTTTATTTTTTTATTATAATAAACCAGTTTTTTATTATAATAAACGAGCTAGTTTTTTTTTAAATCAACATTAATAATTTCTAAAAATTAAACATTTTTATATGATTTATTTTTTTTTAACTAATATTGATAAAAAATAATTTAGTGAAAACAAATTGCTGTAATATTACGACAGACGTGTCATTTTAAAGACACCCTATTTATTTTACATTAATGTGGACAAAGCCCCGGACATTAAAAAACCTGTGTTCTGTTGCGCCATGCCTTTGAAAACGGATACGCCGACTGTCTTCGCACCTGGTATAAAACGGGAATGGCCGAATGCTTCCACTGTTTCATTTTGTTTTATTTTTAGGTTAGTTTTCGACTTTATCGGTTTACGAGAGGGTGTTCATAAGATGCCTTTGTGTGGTGTAAGTATCTTATAAAGTTATTTATTTCAGTGTTCAGTAACGGTACAGGGTAATTTTGTGTTTTTGTACATTATGAAAAAACATGTATCCGAATCAAGAAAGAGTTGATATGGTTAGGGCCTACTTTTTGTCACGAACAAAGAAAACGATATCAGATAGAATACGCCGACTTATAAGAAAATGTTTGTCAAATCGGTTCAACATTTAATATAATCCAAACGTCGGCTTAGACAGAAAATCAAGACCATTATTTCCTTGCCCTATCCCGACAACCTATACATTTTTATTGCTTTTACATAATTTTAAAGATTTATAATTAATTTGTAGCATTTCTACCACTCTTAGTTGTTGCCGGTTGTACATTGAAGAAAATATTATCTAATATCAAACTAATCTCAAACTAAAGTTCAGGTATGATTTGCTTATATTTAAATTACTTAGTTCTTTATCATCTATCTAGAATAATACATTACTTTTTATAATTTTATATATAAATTATTATAAGTTTGAGAGTAGTTTAAATTAAATAAACGAAAAGTAAATCTAAATACTATTTAATATTAAACTTTATGAATGGTATACAGGGTGTTTCTAAATAAGTGTCGCAACGGAAAACTGTAAATTCCCCTTGAAAAGATTTTCCTCTTCCACTTTTCTCTCCGGGCTTTCGTTTTCGAGATACACGGTGCCAAAACTTTTTTTCAGATTTTTGCCAATATCTTAGGAACCGTTTGAACTACAGGACTGAGCTTTTGTACACACATTACCACTATTAATAGCTACTTGTTGCAAATGTTAAATTTCGTTAAAATTGTTAATTATTACTATCAATCTTTTGAATTACAAAAGATTTTCGAAACGTTAGCAAAATGTTTGTTTTTGTTCATAGAAAGTCATTTTTCTTGGAAACGGTCGACTTTAGAGCAATGAACCAAGAGAACTCTTTTTGTGCAAAATTCATTGGCGCTTCAGAATTTGCAGTCAAATACAATTTTTCCAGTGGCTTAAAAGTTAGGGGGGAAAATCCTTACGATACCTTAAAATCTCCACCACTGGCACGTTCAATGAATTCGAGAAGGGTGGGAAAAAGTAGCTGTTAATAGCGGTAATGCGTGTACAAAAACTCAGTCCTGTAGTTCGGTTCCTAAGATATTGGTAAAAATTTAAAAAAAATGAAAGTTTTGACACCGTGTATCTCGAAAACGAAAGCCCGAAGAGAAAAATGGAAGAGGAAAAGAATGTTTCTTTTTTCAAGAGGAATTTACAGTTTTCCGTTGCGACACTTATTTAGGAACACCCTGTATATTAAACAAACTACGCCACAAACGCACTGAAAGAAATAAGAGAATGTTTATTTTAATATTAATATGCGTTCATCAGTTACGAACGAACTTATTGAAATGGTGTTCCAGTGTCCACAAACTACTGAAGCCAGCTTATACAAGCTTGCACATATCTAACGTAACTAAACCAACAACAATTAACATTTTATATTTACTATATTTTTTGGAGTGAAATCCCATTTGCCGTAAAATAGAGGCACATATGGACAAAATGTAAAAGGCATTTTTTTATTATTATTTTTCATGAGACCGTATCATTTTTGTTTTAATAAAAAACTCGAATGAGTTT